AAGCATGATTGTTCATAGTTAAAGTGATTAATTACCCGCCTGGCACTTAGTTAAGAGGTTTTATTCCCTCCCTAACTTCAGGGGAAAATCCCTACCTGGGGAAACAACCTTTCTCAGAGAGGTGACCTTGGTTAAAACACATAGTGCCAAGAAGGTGAGCAAACATATTAAGAACAGTATGCCATATATGCCAGGTCCCTTGAAACAGCAAGCATGGACCGGCTTCCGGCAATTACTATTGACTGTTGAATGTCTTTCCTTATTGTAGTTCACCTACCAAAGTTTAAAGCCTTTTAACTACTAAAGAACACACATTTCTCCCACCTCTTTCCTTGTTCCCTTTGCCCTCCCCTGCAACATGATAATTGATATCCTTCTTACCTACTTTATTTTTCATACTTGTACTTATCATCATCTAACATCAGATATGCTTATTTGTTTATTTCTAGAACATGAACTCCATGAAGGTAGGGACTTTGCTATTTTGGGGTTCACTGTTGTATCCCAAATACCTAGAATGGTTCTTGGAACATAGAATGTGCTCAACAAATATTTGTTGAATAAATGAATGAATGGACACACACTGCAATACTCATAATGCATCCCTACTCTCTGTTGTAGGGGAGCCTCAGTGATTGCCACTCAAGGTTTGCATTAAATGTATGCATTCCTTTACTTTGCCAAATGGTCATAAAGCAGATTTTTCCTTTATTTCCCTTTCTTCTATGATTGGGGCAGGGAAAAAATATTTTCCAAAAGTGCTGTAATACTGAAATGATTAAAACTTCAATGTCAAAGCCACACCCTTCAGTAGGGCTATTGATGGAAATCATTGAGTGGTAGGTCCCTTCTCTGAGAAGTGAGAAAGGTGATAGCTGGGGGAAGGGTGGGTGAGCTTTCTATTATCTTGTAGAAGTGGCTGCTCAAAAACTTTCAATAACTACTCATTGTTTAAAATTTAAGTTTCAACTCCTCAGCAACTCCCCCACTCTTCCTTCACAGTGCATTTGGCTCCAGCCAAATTGTCAACTGAATTTTTTCCATCTCCACAGAAGCTTAGCTTCTGTTTTTCAAGATTCTACTGTTTGTCAAGGTACAATTACAACATGGTCTAGTCAGGATATTTTCCCTAACTTCTCTGCTATTCCTCTACCTTAAACTCTGAGGATAGCCATTGAGGTCTTTCTCAGGTTCCTTTAAATATGTTTACCTCTCTTTTAGGGATGCTCTCCAGCCTTTCTCTGCATAGATCTTTCTCAAGAGTTTTCTGTTAAATTGTCTTGAGGGCTAGGGCTGTTTCCTTCTGTTTTTCTATATATACCAAGCATTCAGCAAATGTTTCTGAGTAAGTCTCTGTGTGTATAGCTGTATATTTATTTTTCTAGTGGTACAAAATACCTTTAGAGCCCGTCTGATGAAAATATGTTAAATATAGAGCATTTTGCTCATATGGTCAGTACAGGTGAATTTCTTTCACCATCCATTCTGTAGAAGAGAAAAACAACAACTAATGTAAACATAGAGCTGGGCTTGTATTTCTTGAGACCACAGTGAGACGGGGCCTTTTTCTCACAGGGTTGGCAGGACATATCTGGGTGGTAGATCAAAGGGAACTTATTACTAACTTTGTTTGGGTGTGGGGGGTTGAGACTTAACAAGTGAAAAGAAAAAAGCAATGAAACTAAATTCACTTCCTACTGCATAAATGAACAGGGATACTCTGCATAAAGCTCTGTTTTTCTCTTTCAGGGCATCCAGTGCATGTAGGACTGTGATAACACTGCCCCCTTCTGTTACTCTTGATTATTAATACCGGTGATTCTCAAGACTGGTTTGATGATCCTGATGTGAATTTTCTATTTCCAAGAAATGCTTGCTTAAGACAGAAGGACAAGCAATTATGTATTTATTATATATTTATTCAATGTGATTTTATTCTATCAGGTTCTCCATTTTTATAGTTAACTTGACTGGTAAATTTTGTTGTGAGGTATTAGTTCAATTGCATTATAATTGGATATTATATTTCAGGAAATGGATAAAGTCAAGGATCATAACAAAATTAACCAATTTTTTGTTTATGTATGTCTAAGTAGTTACTTAATTTCTTCTAGTTACTAGAACTTCCCTTGGATGTTAAAGCATCAACCAATGGGTTGATGCATTGTGGCTTTTTCATTTAGGACAGAACCTCTCAGATTGGGGACAGTTAAAGAGCCCTGAATGGTGGTTCTTCACGTATCAAAAGCCAGTGCCACTTTCTGTGAATAGCACTGTCTGTGAAATGATTTATCTCAGAACTTTTGAACAGCTTTGTTATTCTTTTCTCCTTTTCTGTATGTATCTTTAAAGAAGTTGTGGCCACATAGCATAGGGCTTTGAATCTATACATAATAGGGGAGCCAATTAACATATCTGGGCAAAGGATAGCATCCTTAGAAGGGTGACATTATCAGTTTTGTGTTGAATGAACTGAGATGAAAAGCAGGAGGGAGAACATTAGCAGATTCAAATAGTAATACTATCACTAGTACCTCCACAGTGCACTCAAAATCCTCACCATTTTTTTTCTCATTGATCTTCCCTTAACCCTAGTCTGAGCCCCCAGCATCTTTCTCTTGGATCCGTATAATGTTATGCTCCCTGGTTGCCCTACAACCAGTCTTGCTCTCCTACAATTCATTCTCCCCCCAGAAGACAAAGTCAGCTTTAAAAAACAAGTAAACTAGAGCATATCACTTAACATTAAGTGTATTACTGACTTCCCTTTACACTTTCGGATGAAATTTACACTCCTACCCTGGTGCATGAGGCCCCATGCAGTTTGGACTCTGTCTGCTTCTCAGACCTACACTCCCATGTCTGCTCATTAGGCTCCAACTCCCTGGCTTTTTTTGGTTCCTCGAATAAGCCAAGTTCAGTCTGACCTCAGACATCTGAGCCTTTGTTCTTACTATTCATCTACCTAGAACATTCTGCTCTCAGAATTTCACATGGCTGGCTTCTTGCTTCAGCTTACATATCCCTTCCTCAAAGAGTCCCAACCTGTCATACTTCATCTTCTTCTCTTTGTCTCCCCAACCCCACCTAGTTCTATTTTTATTTATAGCCCATGTCACTATTTAAAATTCTTTAAAATCTGTGTTCCTTGCCTAGAATAAATGTTGCAAGAGGGCATGAACCTTGTATACCTTGTTCATCTCTGGGTTTCCAATATATAGAGCTTCCATCTGGCTAATGGTAAATGCTTGGTAATTACTTGTTACATATACGAATCTGGGTAAAAGATATAAAGAACAAGAGTAGGACAAATATAAATAGAAGAGAAGAGATACTTGAACAAATTATGGTAGATATGGAGAGGATTGATTTAATTATTAGATATCAGGAGCTAATGGGATATCAGGAGCCAATGGAAAGGGAGAAGTCAAATGATGGGTTCTTACTTAGACAGTAGAAAAATGTCAGTGATGCCATTAATTCAGAGAAAAGTTAGTGGAATATAATGGATGGGAGTGGCCAATGTATATTTGACTTTGGACTTGAGTGACTTGAGTGTGAGATGTTGGTAGGTCCATGTGAAGATGCCTAACAGGTATATAGAAATCAGAAAGAGGCCAAGGCTAAACATTTAGATTTTGGAGTCATTTTCATAATGGTTACATTGAGATTGAATCAGGTCAACAAGGGACAGCATGTAGAGAGGGGAAAAAAGAACTTTTAAAATGTGCAGATTTTTGCCCATTCTTGTGTACTAAAAGCCATGCTGGAATAAGTGATATCTAACAAATGAGGAGCAAGGGCTAAAGCTTCATGGGGCCAGAGATGATAACATGACAATTTGGCAAGAAGAGAGTGTGTTATACAGACCAGGCATATTGTAACACTGCCATATGGTACTCTTTGATCTGCGCAGAACATCTCTCAGTGGGGAAGCTCTGCATCTCAAAGGGAGTCTGTGTAACTTCTCTGCTTCCTTCCCATAATCTGTAAGGGGTCCAGAGTGAGGATTGGCTAAGGTTAATGATGAAGCTCTACTCTTTGATTTAGGGAATAATCTAAAGTGGTTTTGGAAAAAATGCATTACAAAAGCTACATTTCACCCTGCCAGCATGGCTCAGTGGTTGAGCATTGACCTATGAACCGGGGGTCACAGTTCGATTCCTGGTCAGATTAGGGCATATGCCCAGGTTGCGGGCTCGATCCCCAATGGGGGAACGTGCAGGAGGCAGCCCATCAATGATTCTCTCTCATCATTGATGTTTCCCTCTCTCTTCCTCTCCCTTCCTCTCTAAAATCAATAAAAATATATCATATATATATATATATATATATATATATATATATATATATATATGCTACAGCCCTAGCCGTTCTGGCTCAGTAGATAGAGCAGGGGTCCTCAAACTACGGCCTGTGGGCCACATACAAATACAAATATTGTATTTGTTCCCATTTTGTTTTTTTACTTCAAAATAAGATATGTGTAGTGTGCATAGGAATTTGTTCATAGTTTTTTTTTAAACTATAGTCCGGCCCTCCAGTGGTCTGAGGGACAGTGAACTGGCCCCCTGTTTAAAAAGTTTGAGGACCCCTGAGATAGAGTGTCAGCCTGTGAACCAAAGAGTCCCAGGTTTGATTCTGGTCAAGGGCACATACCTTGGTTTCAGGCTCTTCCCCAGCCCAGGCCCTGAGCAAGGTGCATGCAGGAGGCAACCAATCAATGTGTTTCTCTCACACTGATGTTTCTCTCTGTTTTTTCCTCTCTCTTCCAGTCTTTCTAAAAAAGATCAATGGAAAAATATTCTCAGGTGAGGATTAACCAAAAACAACAACAACAACAACCCCCGCCCCCCCACCCCAAACAACAACCCAAAACAAAACACAAAGCTACATTTGTCACTGTGGGCTTAGTGAACTAAACATTCAATATGTATTCTCTTATTAGTTCTCACTCACCAAATTTCTGTAAAGAACTACAATTATTACCTGTTTTGCAGATGAGAAACGGTGCCTGGAAAGTAATATACTGTGACTTTCCCGGATGATAAATGATGGAGTTGGGATTCAGCCCCAAACTGCGCATCCCAAAGTGCACACTTTGCACCATGATGCCCTAATGCTTCCCTACACAGGTAATAATCATTTCTGGTACTTAAATTTTGTTTCTGTATTTTAGTGTATGTTTCTTTTCATTTCAATGTTGTGGATATGATGTTAATAAATCAGGCAAACTTTATTAGTAATAATGAAGAGTGACTACAATTACTCATAAAGTTGTCCTTTTGTGCTGAATAAAAGTAACTGGTTCTTTTAGTAGTGCTCCTCTGTGTCACACAATTGCCTTAAAGAGCTGCTATTACTTTCAGAAAGTCAACTTCCCTAAATCCCCAGGAGATCCTTAATTTCAGGACTCTTAGGGCATCTGAAATAGAACTAGTTTTGGATCCTCTTCCACATCCACCCCCAGCCTTAAATTACAGGCATACCCCTTTTATTGTGGGAACTTGTTCCTAGAAATGATCATATTAGCTAAATTGGTGCTATAAGGATTATTACACCATGATACCTGGGAGATATGCTACTGATGTCATACTTTGACAATTGTCTTTCTTTCTCTTCCAGTCTTCTGAAGTTGTGATGTGCCTCTGGCCGTACATTTCTTCTATTTATTTTTCATACTGTTGTTGGTCAATCTTTCTGGGCTGCAGGGAGTCTTATGCTGACCTTCCAGTGAAGGATTTCTACCAGGCAACCAGAACCTACTGTTATGGGTTTCTCTCTCCTGGAGACTTAGCAGCTATTGCAGTGAATGTTGTTTGTTGTCATCCAGGATCTTCCTTGATTTTTTGTAGAATCTGCAGCATTACAATTGATTAGCCATCTTGAACCAACATGTTCACTGGCACACAAGTAATGGCAGAAAGAGGAACCTGGTAGAATAAATGATTGGGATGGGCCACACAAATGGCTCTTAGTCCTCATTGGCTGAGAGCCAAATATAAATGAGCTACACGAACTAGTACTGCAATGGGCTTACATTTATGTAGACCTATAAAATATTTCTGAAGCCAATAGAACTCTAATGAGTCAGCTCATTTTGGGGCAGTTCTAAATGAACTCTAAGTAAGTGCCTGACTTTATGTCCAGTAAATGTGTGGTGATGCATGGTGGCATTTTCTTTGATCCTTCAATAATTTATTAATGGGAACTTTGTGCTAGGCATGATGTTCCTTCAACTTTTAAAATAATGATGTCATTTTGGTTAGCTCCAAGCCTCTCTCATAAAATGTTTTCCATTTCTCTCTCTCTCTTTTTATTCATTTGTTTACAAAATTTTTAAAAATCTTTTTTTTTTATTGCTTAAAGTATTACAAAGGGTATTACATATGTGTCCATTTTATCCCCCCGCCCTAGACAGTCCCCTAGCCTCCCCTATCCCCCAATGTCTTATGTCCACTGGTTATGCTTCTATGCATGCATACAAGTCCTTTAGTTGATCTCTTACCCCCCTACCTCCTGCCCCCCAACCCTCCCCGGCCTTCCTGCTGCAGTTTGACAATCTGTTTGAGGCAGCTCTGCCTCTGTATCTATTATTGTTCAAAAGTTTATAATGGTCTCTATTATCCATGAATGAGTGAGATCATGTGGTATTTTTCCTTCATTGACTGGCTTATTTCACTTAGCATAATGCTCTCCAGTTCCATCCATGACGTTGCAAATGGTAAGAGTTCCTTCCTTTTTAGAGCAGCATAGTATTCCATCGTGTAGATGTACCACAGTTTTCTAATCCATTCATCTACTGATGGGCACTTAGGCTGTTTCCAGATCTTAGCTATGGTGAATTGTGCTGCTATGAATATAGGGGTGCATATATCCTTTCTGATTGGTGTTTCTGGTTTCTTGGGATATATTCCTAGAAGTGGGATCACAGGGTCAAATGGGAGTTCCATTTTCAGTTTTTTAAGTAAACTCCATACTGTCTTCCATAGTGGCTGCACCAGTCTGCATTCCCACCAGCAGTGCACAAGTGTTCCTTTTTCTCCACATCCTCTCCAGCACTTGTCGTTTGTTGATTTGTTGATGATAGCCAGTCTGACAGGTGTGAGATGGTACCTCATTGTTGTTTTGATTTGCATCTCTCGGATGATTAGTGACTTTGAGCATGTTTTCATATGTCTCTTGGCTTTCTGAATGTCCTCTTTTGAAAGGTGTCTATTTAGGTCCTTTGCCCATTTTTTGATTGGATTGTTTATCTTCCTTTTGTTAAGTTGTATGAGTTCCCTATAAATTTTGGAGATTAGGCCCTTATCAGATATGACATTGGCAAATATGTTTTCCCACACAGTGGGTTTTCTCGTTGTTTTGTTCATGGTTTCTTTTGCTGTGCAGAAGCTTTTTATTTTGATGTAGTCCCATTTGTTCATTTTCTCTTTCGTTTCAAGTGCCCTAGGAGCTGTATCAGTGAAGAAATTGCTTCGGCATATGTCTGAGATTTTGTTGCCTTTGGATTCTTCTAGAATTTTTATGGTTTCCTGTCGTACATTTAAGTCCTTTATCCATTTTGAGTTTATTTTTGTGTATGGTGTAAGTTGGTGGTCTAGTTTCATTTTCTTGCATATATCTGTCCAATTTTCCCAGCACCATTTATTGAAGAGACTATCTTGGCTCCATTGTATGTTCTTGCCTCCTTTGTCAAATATTAATTGAGCATATTGGTTCGGGCCGATTTCTGGGCTCTCTATTCTATTCCATTGATCTATATGCCTATTCTTGTGCCAGTACCAGGCAGTTTTGAGAACAGTGGCTTTGTAATACATCTTGATATCTGGTATTGAGATCCCACCTACTTTGGTCTTTTTCAGGATTGCTGCAGCTATTCGAGGTCTTTTTTTATTCCAGATGAATTTTTGGAGAGTTCGTTCTAGATCTCTGAAGTATGCCGTTGGTATTTTAATGGGAAGTGCGTTGAATTTATAGATTGCTTTGGGTAGTATGGACATTTTAATGATGTTGATTCTACCAATCCATGAACACGGTATGTTCTTCCATCTGTTTATGTCTTCCTCTATATCTTTTTTCAACGTCCTGTAGTTTTCTGAGTAGAGGTCTTTTACCTCTTTAGTTAAGTTTATTCCTAGGTAGCTTAATTTTTTTGGTGCGATGGTAAACGGGATTGTTTTTATAATCTCTCTTTCTGAAAGTTCACTATTGGTGTATAGAAATGCCTCGGATTTCTTGGGGTTAATTTTGTATCCTGCTACATTGCCAAATTCATGTATTAAGTCCAGTAGCTTTTGGATGGAGTCTCTAGGGTTTTGTATGTATAATATCATGTCGTCTGCAAATAAGGACAGTTTTACTTCCTCTTTTCCAATTTGGATGCCTTTTATTTCTTCTTCTTGCCGAATTGCAATGGCTAACACTTCCAGTACTATGTTGAACAGGAGTGGTGAGAGGGGGCATCCCTGTCTTGTTCCTGTTCTTAGGGGAAATGGTGTTAGTTTTTGTCCATTGAGTATGATGTTGGCTGTGGGCCTGTCATATATGGCTTTTATTATGTTGAGGTATGATCCTTCTACTCCCACCTTGCTGAGAGCTTTTATCAAAAATGGGTGTTGAATTTTGTCAAATGCTTTTTCTGCATCAATTGATATGACCATGTGGTTTTTTTCTTTCAATTTGTTTATGTGATGTATCACGTTTATTGATTTGCGGATATTGTACCATCCTTGCATCCCTGGGATAAATCCTACTTGGTCATGGTGTATGATCTTTCTGATGTACTGCTGGATCCGATTTGCTAAGATTTTGTTGAGGATTTTGGCATCTATGTTCATGAGGGATATTGGCCTGTAATTCTCTTTCATTGTGTTGTCTTTACCTGGTTTTGGTATTAGGGTGATGCTGGCTTCATAGAATGAGCTTGGAAGTGTTCCTTCCTCTTGAATTTTTTGTAGTAGTCTGAGGAGGATAGGTTTTAGTTCTTCCTTGAATGTTTGGTAAAACTCCCCTGTGAAGCCGTCTGGTCCTGGGCTTTTGTTTGCTGGAAGCTTTTTGATGACTGCTTCAATTTCTTCCATAGTTATTGGCCTGTTGAGATTTTTAGATTCTTCCTGATTGAGTTTTGGAATGTTGTATTTTTCTAGGAATTTGTCCATTTCCTCCAGGTTGTCTAGTTTGTTGGAGTAGAGCTGTCCATAGTATTTTTTAACAATCATTTGTATTTCTGTGGGGTCTGTTGTTATTTCGCCTCTATCGTTTCTGATTTTGTTTATTTGGGTCCTCTCTCTTTGCTTCTTGGTGAGTCTGGCTAGAGGTTTGTCAATCTTGTTTATCCTTTCAAAGAACCAGCTCTTGGTTTCATTGATTTTCTGTATTGTTTTTTTGGTCTCTATGTCATTTATTTCTGCTCTAATCTTTATTATCTCCTTCCTTCTGCTCACTCTGGGGTTTTCTTGTTGCTCTCTTTCTAATTCTTTGAGTTGTAGAGTTAGATGATTTACTACCATTTTTTCTTGTTTGTTGAGATAGGCCTGTAGAGCTATAAACTTCCCTCTCAGGACTGCTTTCATTGTGTCCCATAGGTTTTGGATTGTTGTGTTTTCATTGTCATTAGTTTCCAGGATGTTTCGAATTTCTTCTTTGATTTCATTGGTAACCCAATCAATATTTAATAGCATGCTATTCAGCTTCCAGGTGTTTGAGTATTTTGGGTTGTTTTTATTGTAGTTTATTTCTAATATTATGCCATCGTGGTCTGCGAAGACGCTTTTTATGATTTCAATTTTCTTGAATTTGGGGATACTTTGCTTGTGACCCAATATATGGTCTATTTTTGAATATGTCCTATGAGCATTTGAGTAGAATGTATATTCCCTGGCTTTCAGGTGAAGTGTTCTGAAGATGTCTATTAAGTCCATCTGATCTAGTGAGTCATTTAGGATTGCTGTATCTTTGCTGATTATTTGTCTAGAGGACTTATCCAGTGCTGTCAGTGGTGTATTAAAGTCCCCTACTATGATTGTATTGTTGTCGATGTCTCCTTTGATATCTTCCAGGAGTTTTTTTATGAATTTGGGTGCTCCTGCATTGGGTGCATATATGTTTACCAGGATTATATCTTCTTGTTGTA